AAACAAAAGGATTCAAAGGCCTTGTTTACTCTACAACAAGCTGTGACTGATGCAATTTTTTCAAGAATAATAGGTGCTACAACAGCCAAAGAAGCATGGAGTACGCTACAGGAGGAGTTTGAAGGAAGCGAAAAGGTACGCGCTATAAAACTCCAAACTCTACGACGAGAGTTTGAATTATTAAAAATGAAAGAGTTTGAGACCGTCAAGGATTACTATTCTAAAATAAAAGAAATGGTTAATCAAATGAGAGCTTACGGAGAAAATATTCTTGACAAAAAAGTTGTTGAGAAATTACTGATTACAGTTCCCCGTAAGTATGATCCAATTGTCACCACTATTGAGCAAACAAAGGACCTATCTACTCTATCAGTGACAGAGTTGGTAGGGTCCCTTGAAGCTTATGAGCAAAGGTTGAAAAGGCATGATGAGGACTCAATAGAAAATGTCTTTCAATCAAAGCTCAAATTACGGTCTCAGAATAAAGGGAATGAAACAATAAAGAATAATGGAGAAACTTCTAGAAACAAAGAGAATTCTAGAAATTTCTCTAGAAACAATCAAGATAAATACCCTCCATGTGGTATTTGTAGAAGGACAAATCATGCTGAAAAAGAATGTCGGTATCGTGGAAAACCACAATGTCGACACTGCAAGAAATATAGACATGTGGAAAAGTATTGTCGCAGCAAAAACAAGTATCAAGCAAATTTCGTTGAAGAGGATGATCAAGAACCACATCTTTTCTATGCTACCCAAGATCCCAGTGCTGAAACAAGCAGAAATTGGTACTTGGATAGCGGTTGCAGTAATCATATGGCCAAAGATATAGACATCTTCAAGGATATCGACGAATCCATCAAAGTGAAAGTTCGAATGGGGAACGGTACTATCGTTGAGTCAAAAGGCAAAGGCACTGTTATGGTGGAGACAAAGAAAGGTAGGAAACTTATTACTGATGTCTTACTAGTCCCCAACCTCAAGGAAAATCTCTTGAGTATTGGCCAAATGATGGAGAAAGGTTATTCTCTTCACTTCAAAGGGGACACATGTAAGATATATGACAACAAAAAGCAAGAGATTGGCCAAGTAAAGATGGAGAAAAGAAATCAAAGTTTTCCAATAAGCTTTCAACAAGGCGCTAATATTGCCATGAAAGCAGAAGTTGATACTTCACGACTTTGGCATCGAAGATTTGGCCACTTCAATACTCATGCCTTAAAACTACTACATCAAAAGAATATGATGAAGGATCTTCCATATCTTGAAGAAAATAATGAAGCTTGTGAAGGATGTCTCCTTGGCAAGCAACATCGATTGCCATTTTCTACTGGAAAAGCTTGGAGAGAAAAAGACTTATTGGAGCTTATTCATACAGATATTTGTAGACCAATGCGGACACCATCACTACATGATAACAGGTATTTTATCCTTTTCATCGATGATTTTTCTAAAATGACTTGGGTCTACTTCATCAAAGCAAACTCAGAAGTCTTTGAAATTTTCAAGAAGTTTAAGGCCCTTGTCGAGAAGCAAAGTGGTAAACAGATAAAAGTATTAAGAAGTGGTCGTAGCAAAGAATATACATCTCAAGAGTTTGATAAATTCTGTGAGGATGAAGGCATTCAACGACAACTTACTGTCGCATATACTCCACAACAAAATGGAGTAATTGAGAGGAAAAACCGCACGGTAATGGAGATGGCTAGATCCATGCTGAAGGAGAAAGAATTGCCAAATACTTTCTGGGCTAAAGCAGTTTATACTACTGTCTACATACTTAACAGATGCCCAACTAAGGCTGTCCAAGATAAAACTCCAATTGAAGCTTGGAGTGGGCAAAAACCATCTGCAAAACATCTAAGGGTTTTCGGACCAATTTGCTACATACACATTCCAGAAGAGAAGAGACACAAACTAGAAGACAAAACCGTACGAGGTATCTTCTTGGGATATAGCACACAGTCAAAAGGATATCGAGTCTACAACTTGAAAACCAAGAAGCTCACCATTAGTCGAGATGTTGAAGTTGATGAAAATGCTGCTTGGAATTGGAAAGATGAAAAGGTTCAGAAAAATGTTTCCATATCAATGCAACAACCTCAAGAAATTGAAGAAGTCTCAGGTGAGAATTTTTTTCACCTCCACAACAACAACATTCCTCACTAGAGTCTACTCCAAGACGAGTTAGATTTTTGGTAGATATATACGAGACCTGTAACCTAGCCATAACTGAACCTGAGAGCTTTGAAGCAGCGTCAAAACAAGAAGTATGGGTCAAGGCAATGGAAGAAGAGATAAAAATGATTGAAAAAAATAACACATGGGAGCTAGTAGATTGCCCCACAGATAAAGATATCATTGGGCTAAAATGGGTCTATAAGACCAAGCTTAATCCCGATGGCACCATACAAAAGTACAAGGCAAGGTTGGTAGCTAAAGGATACTCACAACAACTTGGAGTTGATTACAACGAGACATTTGCTCTAGTTGCTCGCCTGGATACTATAAGAACTCTGATTGCTCTTGCTACACAAAAAGGATGGAACATTTATCAACTCGATGTAAAATCTGCCTTTCTCAATGGCATTCTTCAAGAAGAGATTTATGTGGAGCAACCGCAAGGCTTCGTCAGCAAAGGTAATGAAGGCAAAGTACTAAGACTGAAAAAAGCTCTATATGAATTGAAGCAAGCTCTACGAGCATGGTACAACAAAATTGATCAATACTTTGCAGACCAAAGATTCAGGAGGAGCAAAAGTGAAGCAACTTTATACACCAAGATCCAAGGTCAGTATGATATACTCATTGTCTCCTTGTATGTAGATGATCTTATCTGCACAGGAAACAATGTGGAGATGATAGCTAAGTTCAAAGAAGATATGATGAAGACCTTCGAAATGACCGACCTTGACTTAATGAACTACTTCCTTGGAATAGAGGTAAAACAAAAGAAAGAAGGAATATTTATCTCACAGAAGAAATATGTTGAAGCACTACTCAAGAAATTTAAGATGAATGGATGTAAGACAGTCAGCACTCTATTGGTGACAAATGAGAAATTGAAGAAAAATGATGGTGCACCGGAAGCTGATGCATCACGTTACAGAAGTTTGATTGGAAGCTTACTATATCTCACAGCCACACGACTAGACATAACGTATGTTGTAAGTCTTCTTTCAAGATTCATGCAAAGTCCAAGCCAAATTCATTTTGGAACAGCAAAAAGAATCCTAAGATATCTACAAGGCACAAAAGAGTATGGTATATGGTACCAAACTATGAGCAACTCAAAGCTACTTGGCTACACCGACAGTGACTGGGCAGGATCGATCGACGACATGAAAAGCACATCTGGTTATGCCTTTTCACTAGGATCAGGAACAATCTCATAGGTTTCAAAGAAGCAAGCAACAGCAGAAGCAGAATATGTAGCAGCTGCTGAGACTACAAGTCAAGCAATATGGTTACGAAGAATACTTGAAGAAATGGGAGAAAAACAAAATGAGCCTACTACAATCTACTGTGACAACAAATCAGCTATAGCAATGACAAAGAATCCAGTGCATCATAGTAGAACAAAACACATAGCAATCAAATATCACTTTATCAGGGAAGCAGAAAGAACTAAAGAAATCAAGCTCGAGTATTGCACAACCGAAGATCAAGTTGCAGACATTTTTACTAAAGCACTACCAAGACCAAAATTTGAACAGCTACGCACGAAGCTTGGAGTTACAAAAATTTGCATCAAGGAGGAGTATTAGAAATTGATACAAATTTCTAGAATAGTCTAGAAAAAATACTAAGAACAATCTAGGAAAAACTAATTGTATCTTCTAGTATGTAGATGCTTCTAGAGAAAGATCTAGAATATTGTAAATCTTCAAGTTTCTAGATAGTTCTAGCATATTGAACCAAATGGTGGATGATGCCTATAAATAGGTATGCTACCTCATTGTAAATGAAATGAAGAAGAAGTAATCAAGACATCAATTCTCCATCTCTTAAGTCTCTTACTAAAACTTCTTTAACTTCTATTTTCAACTATTCCTACTAACACATTTCAACTATCTTACTCATCTCACCCACACTAAAAACTATCAATATTCAAGGCTGCACATGCAATTCAGCATAAGAATTGATATGCTGAACCTTCGAGCACAAGGTTATGGAAATTACTACGGGGGTACTTTCCTCTCTTATCTATATTTCTATCATTCCTTTAAAAAATAAATAACCAAAATTATGTACTGTTAAAGATTGAATAAACCAAACAATGCTCCAGTGTACTCAACCTTCTGTGTTTTTATTTTTTCTTTTATCAACCACTAAAATGCATATAAAGATATTTCTTGAAGGCAGAGGACACTAGGAATTCAAATTAAAGGGCCATTTGACTTTGTTTTTTATCTTTTGAAAAAGACATTTAACTACTTGAAATAGAAAGTAGTCAAAGTCCAAAAATTATGTGTTATCATAAAATTGTTGTCACTGTTTATCAATAATTTGCGTTTCAATAATACTAGTTTTGCAATATATATTTTTACTATTCAGTGATAAGTTTTGAGATGATTCTATTATTTTGACCATTTTGCAAACAATGAAAATAATCATTTGATACTTTCCGGTCTAAGGGATAGATAACAATTGATCCCATTTCTATTGCAGCTAGTTCAAATCATCCACCATCACGTCTATGATGTCCCTACAGACTATACAAATTCGGTAGTAGGATATATAGCTAAATCACTTTATGATAAATATAAAACAAATTTGAACAGTTATGGCGGCTACAATTATTTAATCTTATCAATGTTTATCCCAATTCTAACATAGACAAGTGTCCCAAATACCAATAATGAAAATATCTATTGACTAATAATGATCTTTATCAAAATGTCTATATAACTTTCCGTATAGCAATTGCCAAATTTGCACTTGTGCCTTATAACTCTTCGGTGTTACATATTGACCCTTCTATATTCTGCTCATTCTTATAGTTCCAAGGTCACTCACTACAAACACAAGGAAAATGGGAACCATTAATACAAATGAAATGGCAGGAACAACCAAACCTGAGTTTAATTCTATATTGAGTGAACGCAAAGCATTTGATGAAACAAAAGATGGTGTGAAAGGGCTTGCTGATGCTGGTGTGAAGAAGGTTCCTAGCTTATTCCATCATCAACATGACAAATATGAGAAGGCCTCAAATTTAGGCAACAAAGGCCATAATATTCCAGTCATAGACCTTTCCGATATTGACAAAGATCTAAGTAAGCATCAAGGGATTGTTGACATAGTCAAGGAAGCATCAGAAACATGGGGTTTCTTTCAGGTGGTGAATCATGGCATCCCTGTAAGTGTTTTTGAGGAGATGAAAAATGGGGTGCAAAGATTTTATGAGCAGGATAATGAAACCAAAAAACAATTCTATACGCGAGATAGGTCAAGATCCTTTGTGTACAATAGCAATTTTGATCTTTATAGCTCACCAGCACTCAATTGGAGAGATACCTTTATCTGTTACTTGTCTCCTGACATCATCAAACCACAAGATTTTCCTTTAGTATGCAGGTATGTTTGTGTATCAAGTATTTAATCCTTCAACATAGATCAGTACTCAAACTTGGAGGCTCATTTTTTTAAAATGATAGATTATGTTACTAGTTAAGCAGTGACGTGTTTACTTCTGTATAAAATACATGACAAACCATGGTTTGGTAAGATTCAGATGTTTCTTATATTAATTGGAAAATGCTATAAAATTGTGTCTCAATTTTCTTCTATGTAGTTATAGTTCATCGTTCATCAACTATTGATTAAAAAAAAGGTATAGGATACATATTTCTCATCACTTATATATAATTTTCTAATGCGTGCCCAAGACACACAATAAGAACCTATGTTTTATATGTTTTTATCATAAATCACAGAATTCAATACATTAATAATACTAAACATTACGATTTTAAAAAAAAAAACAAACTATTTATTCATTTCTTATTTTATATCCTTGGACCCATTAAAAAAGGCGTAATTTAAAATGAACAAAACAACTCAAAGTAAAAAAGATGCATTAACAATTATAAAATGCATACTGATGATACAAATTGAAATATTCTAGAATTGATATTCCTCTTCAATTTTTTACCGTATTGACTGCATATTCTTGTAGGGACATTCTATTGGAGTATGGGAAACACATAATGAAACTGGGGACTTTGCTGTTTGAATTGTTATCAGAAGCTTTAGGTTTGAATCCTAACCATTTGAAAGACATGGGATGTGCTGAAGGGCTTGTTGCTCTTGGCCATTATTATCCTGCTTGTCCTGAACCACATTTGACTATGGGAACCACCAAGCACTCTGACAATGATTTCCTCACAGTGCTTCTTCAAGACCATGTTGGTGGCCTCCAAGTACTTTACCAAAATAAGTGGATTCATATCACACCTATTCCTGGGGCTCTAGTAGTCAATATTGGTGATCTTCTGCAGGCAAGTTTCCTGTTATTATTCTTTGTATACTTCCTTCAACGACTTTTAATTTGTAATGGATAAATGTGACATCTACACTTTCATTCTTTAAGGAGAGACTTTCATTTTCTATGGACTAATGAAGCCACCAGAATATATGTACTGCTCTATGTACATGCCAAAGCTATTAACATAGTACAAATCATGTCTAAGTTATCTTGGAGTTATTTAATTTAACAAATGTGCCACATGTTTGTTTTAAAGCATACAACATCTCTTATCTTCTTAAGTGCATTTTTGTGCTTTCTATTGAATTAAATGAAGTTTAGTTAGGATAAGGTTAACAATGAATACAAAAAGTATAATGAATCAAACTTCTCTTATAAGTTAAAATCAACTTATGCATCACAATTTTCTTATAAATTTTTTCATTTAACTTTTCTAAAATCTGAGATGCATAACCTGATTTTAAGTTTTATAAAATGTTTGCTTCATTTTACCTCTTTTTTTTTATTATTTCTATTAGCGAGTTCTTGTTGATAAGTTAACACCACTAATAAATCTCTTACTTGAGCATGGGATGCTTGTTTAATTTGTTTATATTTGATGATGGATGTGGTCTTATATGTAGCTAATTATTTGTTTATTTGATTTATAGCTGATAACAAATGATAGATTCAAGAGTGTTGAACACAGAGTAACAGCCAATCATGTTGGTCCAAGAATATCTGTTGCATGCTTTTTTTGCACTGGTGTGATGGCATCCACAAAGCCTTATGGGCCTATAAAGCAATTGTTATCAGAAGATAATCCCCCAAAATACAGGGAAACAACAGTTTCTGACTACGTAGCCTACTTTGATGCAAAAGGACTTGATGGCACCAGTGCTCTAACACATTACAGGATTTGAACTACAAAGTGTAGACCAAAAAGTAATTACATTACTCTCATGGGCATAAATAATTAGTCTTTTTAATCTACTATGCTATAACTATTAAAATCTGTACTCACTGCAAAAAGTATGGAGTCAAATTAAGCATTTTATTATCTAAGGATTCTGTGTATCTTATGGTCCTTCAACCAATGAAGAGCATTCCTTGATTGGCACTATATTATCCTCAATGAAATTAATAATCTATTCTGCTTCAACATTTTTCAAAGGGATAGCTTTTACCCATTTTGTAAATTAATCTAAAGCCACCAAAATATATTGATGGTCTTCTCAAGATGGAGGATGAATTTGTCATATCAAGTCAAGAGCCCATCCTCTAAATGCCCAAGGTTTTATGTACCCCAACACCGACACATACTCAATTTATTTCTTAAACTTGAAAAATGTGAAATATAATCCTCCAACACTTTAACATGAGTAAAATATACATATTTTTATATTTTATAATTATAGTTTGAAAAATCTTTGAATATTTTTACTTAAATTTAAACATGAAAAAAATACTGATCAAAGGTCAAATATATAGTGACGATCAATCAATTAGAGTTGTTATCACCAACCCAAACTCAGCGATCAAAACCCCTCCAATCTTACCACAGCTAGAAAATAGAAGACGAAAGACACTTTTTATAATGATTTCTAACCTTATTCTGCTAGTGTTATCTCATCTTAATCGACCCTAAGAACAGAGAAATTATAGTGACTACTATATGGATCCCATTAGAAACCAATCTCATCCCCTTTCTTAAAGCCCCTTCTCTTAACAAAATCTTGGACCCATTTTCCCATAAATTTGTAGCATCTTGAATGAAATTATAGATAACCAAAACTGTGTACTCTTAGAATTTGAAATAACCAAACAAGCTCTTAGAAAATGTGCAAGTTCAATGGTTGCAAAGTACTCAACACAAATTAGTTAGAATTTCATTTCAATTTTTTTATCAGCAACGAAAATGGCCTATAAAGATATTTCTTGAAGGAAGAAAATTAGGAATTCAAATTATCGGGACATTTGACTTTTTTCTTTCTTTCTTGAAAGAGACAATTGAGTGGTCGAAATAGAAAGTATATTAGTCAAAGTTTAATAATTATGTGTTATTATAAAATTGTTATCACAGTGGTCACCAAATATGTAGCTCGTAAACATTAAATTGCTCTTTCATCATCAAACAATTGCCACATGCATCAACTCATAGCGTGTTGTAATCATAAACCATAAACAACAAAAACAACACACTTTAAAAACTACTAATTTTAAGAGTAATTATTAGCAGCAATAATTATTGAAATAGGATTAGAACATTCAATATTTAAGTACCATGAATATGAACATGTGTATGGATCAGCAGTAACCATGCGAATAATTTCATCTGAATCTGACTCGTCATCGGCAGCTACACGTCGCAATCGGTAATAAAAATGTTTTAAAAATATATTTTTTATAAAAAAGTAAATTTTCTAAAAAATAAGAATTGCCGTCAAAGTTTATTTTACAATCTTTTAAAAATAATATCATTTTTTAAACAAAAAATGAGTTCAGGTTAGTACCTTACAATGTCTAAATTATTTTAAATTAATTGTGTAAATTTATTTTAATTTAAAAAAAAAATTTAACTCCTAAAAAATAAGTGTTGCTATTTTTATTTTTAAAGGAAGAAAATTTATCATTGAAATATTAATTAGAATATTAAAAAAGAAAAAAAATTATAAAGTTAGTTGATTAAAATTAAGTTTAGTCATAGGAAGTTTATGTTGAGATTAAAATTATTTTGATAAGATTATAACGATACAATATAATATGATTATACATGCATTCTACAATAAATAATATAGAAAGCAAAGGAAGATTAAACAATTATATTGCATATTGTTAAAAAAATATTTTTATTTGTAAATGAAATAGAATTTAAGATAACATAAACTATACATAAATCTCTTATAATTTATTGGACAACCGAATGCAATATAAATTACAAATTGATATTGTGAAAGATGTATAATAAAATAAAAAAATAGAATTAAGTAATTAAGTATTTATTTATTTAATTTATCAAAGTTAGAAATATGACTTAAGAAAATTTAAAATATATCTTATTTAATAAAAGGAATAAATATATTTGAATTGATTAAAGAAATATTTATTTAATAAAAAAATTAAAACTTAATTTAATAAATTTATATTTCACAATATCGAAGTTAGTACACAAAAGTCTTAACGATTTAAAACATATATGATGAAAATATTTTAAAATTTATTAAATTAAGGAAATATTTTGACTTAAATGATACATTAATACTATAAATCTTTGCATTAATATGATGAAAATATTTTAATTTAATTAAATAAATGAGTTACTTTTAAAATAAAAAATAAGGAAATATTTTGACTTAAATGATACATTTTAATTAAATAAAAACAATCATTAATTAATTAAATTTATAAGTTAGATTTAATTTTTGTGAAAATTAATGATGTATACAATCTAAAATAACGTTGTTATAAATATGTTTTGACAATTTATAACACATGCAGATAAAGTCGCTCTACACATGAATATTATAAATTGTTTCGTTAATGAAAATAACATATTTAAATTAGTTGATTGATTAGTAAGTTAATAATTATGAGAGGAACATGTTTCAATTAATTATTAAGATAATTATTAAATTGATTAAATATAAAATATAATAAATTACTATTGTGTAAAATCTAGGTAATATAAATACACCTAAACTTTATCAATTTATAATATATAACAATAGAAAAGTTATACATTAATATTATAAACTAATACAATTATATTTATTTATTTTTATAAAAAATAACAATTTACTATTCATGAAATAAAAGAAGGTAAATCTTAAATATAAAATTGAATCATATCAATATTTTACAATTATATAATAAATAAAATAAAAGATAATAATTCTAAAGAACAAATAACTAACATATAATTAAGATATAAATAATAAAATAACATGAAAAATTATGGAAAGAATTTATTATTAATTTTAGAGTGAAATCAAATTTACAATCAAATTCATAACTCGAATAAATAAAAATAGTAATTATTTGGTATAATTTAAACAATCTACTACTAAAAAAGAGAAAGAAAATAAAAATTTGAATTAAAAATAATTAAAAATTTTATTAAAAAAGGAAAAAAAAAAGTCCCAAAAAAAAATTTTCAATCTGAGAGGTTGAATTTTTATAACAACAAATTAATTTTTTTGTTTTTTTGTTGAGAGAGAGGTTATGGAAGGGATGGAGACAAGTTTAGTAGATGACATGCTGAGGTGATAAGTTAAAGTTGAGGAGAAGAAGCTTTCATGGTTAAAGTGATAAATTGAGGTTGAGGAGACACTTTCATAGTTGAAGGTAATGTGTTGAGAAAAAAAAGTTTTCATAGTTAAAGATATAAAATGAGGGAGTGGAAGAAAAAAGATGAAGAGAAAAGTAATTGTTCTTGATTAGAAATAAGTTGAGAGGATGAACTTTCATGGATAAGAATGGTGAATTTAGAGAGAAAAAAGAAAATGGAGAAGAATAATAGTTTTAACAGTGGATTAAAAAGGTTAAAAATGGCTAAAGAAAGGTTATAATTAAGAGTTTTATTGTATAAAACTTACATTCATTATGTAAATGAGTTTAAATATACATAAAAAAAAAAAATCACAAATCACAAAATGTATGAGAAACTTAATTGAGTTCTTTGACCTCTTTTCTTTCTCCTGGCTTCTTTCTTTTTTTTCTCTCTATCTCAAAGTATCTTTTTCAAATTTTTAAAACCTTTGATGCCTCTCATATCTACCTCCTTCTTTCTCTCTATATTTCAAAATGTCCCTTTTCAACATTTTTAAGCCTCTGTTTTGTGTCCTACACTCTATTGCTCTTTTTTACTTTTGTATTTTTATGATTTTTGTTTTTAGAGTTTTCACATAAGGCCAAAAATTCTGAATTTTTTATTTTGTATGTATAAAGCAAACATTACTTTATGGGTTTAATTATTTACATGTTTCTTTTTTCAATTTTAAAGTCAAATTTGAATATTTTTCATTTTGTAAAGCAAATTATAATTTTCTTAAAACATTTTGTTCTTATTCCCTTTTTAAAAAAATAAATTCAATTTAAAAAAAATTAAATTTTTTTTAACAAAAGTTGGATATTCACTCTAGATGAGCTTCATCATCACCTTTCTTATATCCTTACTTCCTATGCCAGCATTCACGAGCAAGATGCTCAAATTTCAACAAACATAGTACTTCATTTTTTCTTTTTAAATTTCTTTTTTCCTCCATCAAATTTCACACTATCTTTCTTGCTAATTCCATCACAGGAATTTTTATCTGAACAACCTATTTAGATGGCTTGAATTTTCATATGACCCATAATTTTATCTCTTGAATTTCAGTAATTATTATTCTAATCAATGTAATAAAGAGTTATGATTTGATATAGTGAATTACGAGTCATTATTATTCTTATGCCGAATACAGTATCTTGTATTTACCAGTTATAGTAAATAAAAATATTTTAATTTGCTCATGAGGACGTATTGACTAAACCATATTAATATCTCTGTGTTCTTCTTCTTCTATAACATTTTGATTCCTGTCATAAGAAGTGGTATTAGAGCGTAAGATTCCTCTAGGTAACAGACTCAATGAGAATTGGGGTTTCGTGATGGGTCCACGAAACCAATCTCATCCCCTTGCTTAAAGCCCCTTCTCTTAACATAATCTTGGACACATTTTCCCATCAATTTATAGCATCTTGCAAAGTACTCAACACAAATTAGTTAGAATTTCATTTCAAATATTTATCGGCAACAAAAATGGCTTTATAAAGATATTTCTTGAAAGGCAGAAAATTAGGAATTCAAATTATCGGGACATTTGACTTCTTCTTTCTTTCTTGAAAGAGACAATTGAGTGGTCGAAATAGAAAGTATATTAGTCAAAGTTTAATAATTATGTGTTATTATAAAATTGTTATCACAGTGGTCACCAAATATGTAGCTCGTAAACATTAAATTGCTCTTTCAATATCAAAACAATTGGCGCACATGCATCAACTCATAGCGTGTTGTAACCATAATCAAGATGCAACTGAAATCGTAGTATGAAATTTCAATTGCAAGAATCTCAAAGTATAAACCATAAACCACAAAAAAAAAACATACTTTAAAAACTACTAATTTAAAGAGTAATTCTGTATGATATATTTCTTCATCGATAGCCTACCATGATTTTGGAACAAGCAACAAATGTCATTAATAGAAAGCATAATACTTACACATAAAAGCAACATAAGATCTGAGAAGGCTTATAATAAATGAAAGCAAGAATATTAAAACCCCTCCAACCTTACAACTACTAGAACTTAAAACATGAAATACACAATTTTGAATGATTTCTAAGCTCTTTGTACACGAGCTATCTCATATTAATTGACTCTAAGAACAGAGAAATTGAAGTGACTATTATATGGATCCCAGTAAAAGCCAATCTCATCCCCTTTCTTCAAGCCCCTTCTCTTAACAAAATCTTGGACCCATTTTCCCATAAAAATGTAGCATCTTGAAGAAGCCCATTTCTTGAAAACAAGAGAGTGCATGGTGTAGGTGTCCACATCCCAAATCTTAACACTAACTCCCTTCTCAATCTCAGCAGCATCACCCAACACAGGTAACACAAATTTTTCTGCCAAATCCTTCCCTAGCATGAGCCTACTCATGTTGCCAAGATCACTCTCTTTCAACACCTTTTTTATCTTCCAAGGATCGTCATCATCGTGTACCACCAGAGCATCCTCTTGTACCACCAAGTCTTTGCATGCCTTCTTTTTTGCAACAAAGGGACCTTTGTGGCAATGTTTCCTTTTCTTGGTTGAAGAGACATGTATCTCAGCTCTAGTGCACTGACACACACTCAACGTTAAATGGGTGCAAACCTCGTTGCTGTTGGAATCACTCTCTTCTGTCTCTGCTGCAGTACATGGACACTTACCCAACGTCAGATGGGTACATACGTTGTTTGAGACAGCCATTGTCGATATTTATCTTCAAAATCAGAAGTACAGACACTTTGAACCAATTGCTTTTGCATGTCAATGACATAACACGCATGTTCAGAGTATTTATAGAAGTTACTATAATTATTAAACTATAACTTGTTCGATTTTATGAAATTTTTTAATATCTATTAAAGATTTTATACATTATTAATCTGCGGGTCTTGATTTTGTTTGTATTTAAACGGATTTTATAGATTTTTTAATATCAATTATAGATTGTATACATATCATATAATTTTTTAAATTAAAATAGTTATTTAAATTTATAATTATCAAAGACAAATATGTCATCAAATAAATAATAAAAAGTTGTAATTAAAACCTTACCCAATTGTACTAGATTTTTGAAATTTTAATTTTAAAAAATTCAAAATATTAATTTTTAATACAGCCCAAAATAAGTTTCTTAAATATAAAAATTTTAGATTTTAATTCTAATTATTATTGGCTATATTAATTTTTAATACAATCCAACTTAAAAGGTAAAAGTCATGAAAAAATTTAAAGTAGAAAAAAAACATTACTATCCAAAAATTTAAATTTATGAATAAAAATAAACTATTTTTAATAAATTTTAAAACATTGTCATCTTAATGTCTTATATTTAATATAATAAATTATTATCCTATTATTTAATTTTAGCATCTCATAATAATAAGAACTAAAAAAATTTGCCGTTGTTTATTTTAAAAATTTAAATTTTAAATTTAAAGAATTAATATAAACAAAATACAGATTTAAGGAATAAATAGAAGATTAGTTGAATGTTAAATATTATAACATTTTTAAAAAAAAGTTACTAATGAACTCTACAATAAAGGAGTATGAAGCATGAATACAAAACTAGCATCTATGCGTAGACAATTTTTAATTATTAATTAAGTCATATAATATATAATATTTGAAGCACGTAATATAAACATGTCAATCAGGGCATATGTTAGTGTTATTTTTACCACATACTTGTTTTCACTTAGTAATAATTATTTCAATACTTTTAAATTTGGAATTCTCAAGGACAAACCAAACATCAAATAAATAATAAGTTGTAATTAAAGCATCAACCAATTGAGTAGATTTTTAAAATTTTAATTTTAAAAAATTTAAAATAATAATTTTAATATTGCCTAACATATATTTCCCAAATATAAAAAATTTAGATTTTAAGTCTATTTATAATCGGTTATATTAATTTTTAATACAACTCAACTTAAAAGAAAAAGGTCATAAAAAAAAGAAAAGGAAAAAAAGACATTACTATTCAAAAATTTCAAAGTTATAAATAAAAATAAATTATTTTTAATAAATCCTAAAGTGTTGTCATTTTATGTTCATTTATATATCATTTAACATAGTAAATCATTACCTTATTATTTAATTTTAACATTTCATAATAACAAGAACTAAAACTTTACCGTTGTTAATTTTAGAAACTAAAAATTTAAATTTAAAAAACTAATATAAAAAAATAGAGATTTAAAAAATAAATAGAAGATTTACTTAATGAAATATTAAAAAATTTAAAAAAGTTACTATTAATTGATTTATTATTGTATATGGTATAACTTATATAATAAGGAAGTATGAAGCATGAAAATAAAACTAGCACCTTTGCGTAAATAATTTTTAATTATTAATTAAGTCATATAATATATAATATGTGAAGCACAGAATATGAATATGTAAGTGCGTAAGTTAATATTACATAATTGTAAAAGTGGTGAATTTTTTATTATATTTTGTTGAAAATAATATAAAAATAAAAATAACTAAAAGATTACATAATTAAGGAAATTTATTATATTATTTTTTGTTAAAATAAAATATTTATTGCTATTATGAATTTTTTTTTATAAAAATCTAGTCTTGTATTTTCTTTTTCAGTCACCCAAACAAGTATAGTTTTCTGGTTGTTTTTTCTCTTCTTTTTATCCATCCAAAGAACTCGTCATTTCTATCTCATTTCTCATTTTTTCTCACTTTATTATTTTTTACTCATTTTCTATTACATCCAAACATACCATACAGGTTTAGATATCATTATTTTAATGAGTACAAATTTTGTGAAAATTGCAAGTACCACAACTCAAATTTTAAGGATTTAATTCTTTTAAAAAATTAATATTAGTTAAGAAAAACTGGATTATGATGAATTTGCCTGAAATGAATGCAAAGTTTGTTCAACGCATGCAAGGTAATTAGCTGGCAGTGATGATAATGGGGAGAAAATATCAACAAAATTTAGGAATATTTGGTGTCTATAGAGATTATAGATTTTGAGACACTTGTGAACAAGTGTATTTTGATGAGAAATTACTAATATTATTCTAAAGAATTCAATAAAAATATACTTTTGATGTATATATATCATTTACATCTAATCTAAGTGAATCATTATATAAGATTAATCGAGAAAGTGCCTATAAAATCTATAATGTAATTAATAATTATTAAAAAGAAAGAAAGAAAGATGAGAAAAAAAAAAAAAAGGGAAACATAAGTTTTAAAACATAAGTTTATTTATTTGATTACTGATTTGTCTTTGAGAATTCTAGATTTAAAAGTGTTGAAATATTACTAAGTGATAACAAGTATGTGTTAAAAATAATACTAACTTATGCCCTCACATGTTTATATTATGTGCTTCAAATATTATATATTATATGACTTAATTAATAGTTAAAAATTGTCTACGTATAGATGCTAATTTTGTACATGTATTCATGCTTCATATTCCCTTATTATATAATCCATTAGTAACTTTTTTTTGAAAAATGTTCTAATATTTAACATGCAATAAATCTTCTATTTATTCCTTAAATCTATATTTTATTTATATTAATTTTTTAAATTTTAATTTTTAAAATTAACGACAGTCAATTTTTTAGTTTTTATTATTATGAGATGTTAAAAATTAAATAATAGAATAATAATTTGTTATATTAAATATAAGACATTAAGATGACAATGCTTGAAAATTTATTAAAAATAGTTTATTTTTATTCATAATTTTAAAATTTTTAAATAGTAATATTTTTTTCTACTTTATCTTTTTTCATTATTTCTTCCTTTTAAGTTGGATTGTATGAAAAATTAATATAACCAATAATAATTAGAATTAAAATCTTAAATTTTTATATTTAAAAAACTTATTTTGGCTGTATTAAAAATTAATATTTTGAATTTTTTAAAATTAAAATTTAAAAATCTAGTCCAATCGGTTGAGGCTTTAATTACAACTCTTTATTATTTATTTGATGACTGATTTGTCTTTGAGAATTCTAAATTTAAAAGTGTTGAAATAACTATTTTAATTTGAAAAATTATATGATATGTATACAATCTATAATTGATATTAAAAAATTTATAAAATCAGTTTAAATACAAACAAAATCAAGACTCGCAATTAATAATGTATAAAATCTATAATAGATATTAAAAAATTGCATAAAATCGAACAAGTTATAGTTTAATAATTATAGTAACTTCTATAAATACTCTGAAAATGCGTGCTATGTCATTGTCATTCAAAAGCAATTGGTTCAAAGTGTCTGTACTTCTGATTTTGGACGATAAATCTCGATAATGGCTGTCTCAAACAACATATGTACCCATCTGACGTTGGGTAAGTGTCCATGTACTGCCACAGAGACAGAAGAGAGTGATTCCAACAGCAACGAGGTTTGCACCCATTTAACGTTGAGTGTGTGTCAGTGCACTAGAGCTGAGATGCATGTCTCTTCAACCAAGAAAAGGAAACATTGCCACAAAGGTCCCTTTGTTGCAAAAAAGAAGGCATGCAAAGACTTGGTGGTACAAGAGGATGCTCTGGTGGTACACGATGATGATGATCCTTGGAAGATAAAAAAAGTGTTGAAAGAGAGTGATCTTGGCAATATGAGTAGGCTCATGCTAGGGAAGGATTTGGCAGAAAAGTTTGTGTTACCTGTGTTGGGTGATGCTGCTGAGATTGAGAAGGGAGTTAGTGTTAAGATATGGGATGTGGACACCTACACCATGCACTCTCTTGTTTTCAAGAAATGGGTGTCTTCAAGATGCTACATTTTTATGGGAAAATGGGTCCAAGATTTTGTTAAGAGAAGGGGCTTGAAGAAAGGGGATGAGATTGGCTTTTACTGGGATCCATATAATCGTCACTTCAATTTTTCTGTTCTCAGGGTCAATTAAGATGAGATAACTGGTATACATATAGCTTAGAAATCATTAAAAACAAATGCGTATCTTTGCTTTTTAATTTCAACTCAAGCAGCTGTAAGATTGGAGGGGTTTAAATCATTCTTGCTTTCATCTGTTTGTTATAAGCCTTCTCTGGTGTTATGTTTTTATGGATACAGATATGCTTTCTATTAATAATATAAGTCTTGTTTTCATTTAATTGTCCTTTCCATGTTTCAATTTATTTTTCATCCTTTCTAGTCTTGCTAAGTAAAAGATAAAATTACATTACAGGTTTAGATGTCAGTATTTTTAATGTTTCAAGCATTGAAATAGTCAGTTACTGCAATATTGTTCAGATTAATGTAAATAAATAGAGTAACAAATAAAATAAATACAGTACAGTGTAATTTTAGATGTAAATTATGTATTTATTATGACTTATTATTATAAATAGATAGCTCTGTAATATATATATAAACAAACAAATAAATAAAGCATGCAACAACATGGTTTATTTACTTCGTCATTTAAAATAATCACTCTATTTTAATTGTAAATAATTGAGTTAAAATGTAGAGAACCAACCAAACGGATCAATCAAGTAGTATGCTTGTTTCAAGCAAATTCTGACACTTAGGATTGTGTTAAATCGAGAAGAATTCTAATAACTCACTTTTTGATATATTTTTTATTGATTAAATTAATTAAAAATTTATATAAGTTTCACTTTTAAATTAATATCCTTTATATCTTTAGAAATTTTAATTAATAATAAAAATATATTCAAAAATATATTGACAACATTTCTTTTAAATTAATAAATATATTAATTTATAATTTGTTATCCAAACAAAATTATCAATTTTTAATTTTAGGTTTTAATTAAGTATTTTAGTCTCTAAAAAAGAATTAAAAGTACACTATTTAATTGAATACATGAATGAAAAATAAATAAAATTTATTTAAACATTAAAATTAAAAATTGATAAGTAAATAAATAAATAAAATGGTAGTAAAATAATAATAAAAATTTAATTTTAATGTTACTTGTATTCATTTTATTATTATTATTATTTGAAAGAAATAAAAATTTATAAATAAAATAAAAATTTATAAATAAAATAAAAAAGAGAGATATAACATTAAAAATAAGAGAAAAAATTAATAAAAAAAATCCTTTTTTATTGCTATATTATTATTTAGAAAGTAAAAAAAATTTATGATCCAAAAAATTAAATAAAAAATGTAAAAATATTGTAAATAGAAATGGACACGCTCTTTTAATTTTGAAAATTAAGTTCTTTCATCCCATTATTTTTATTTTTATTTATAACAAAAGAAACACGAGGATTTATAATTTTAAAAATAAATATTAATAACAACAAAATGAAATTATTTGAAAATTTAATCTGTAGAGTTTACGTACCTTAATTTCATTTTATTATTATTATTATCATTATTAAAAGTTGACAAGTGAAAAACAAATTGAAAGAGATGGAGTTAAATAACAGAACATTAGTAAATAAAAGGGGTTCCATCTACCTATAATTGTTCTCCTTTATCATTGCCATTAGTTATCATTTTTAACGTGGTTTTGGGTTCCTCACTCGCGTTCCAACAAAGGTGTCCCAGGATTTGCAGAGCACCAAATCAGAATCATCGTTACTCTGCTTCCTCCATTTTCTTCTTCTTCTTCTTCGATTCAGTTTCACTCTCTCACACCATGGCCACCGCTTCAGGTACTTTATTTTCCCCATTCAACTCCATTTTATCGTTTTCTAGGGTTTAAGATATCAATTTCACTTTACATCTTTCCATTCTTATTTTTTTTTGTCGCCAATTTTTCTGCACAACTTGTTTCACAAAGAAAGCCGTTTTCCATTCGATTTTTTATTTTTATTTTCTAATTTTCCTATTTGGGGGCTTTGTTGTTGTTTTGATCGTTCATGTACAGATAACTATTCAGATGAAATCCCGGCCATATTTCTATTCAAATCTGTTAATCAATACTCAACCTGTATTGTTAATAGTTAATACGATCAATATGGTAAATCTAGCAGGGTCTGGAGAACATGTAGAATTAAAATTTTAAATTTCATCTGTTTAATTCTAATTTTAACGTGACTATGGTCCTCACAATTTTCTTTATAAACTTAATTGGCCGTTGTTTTTTTCATTTAACTTGTATTGGGTTGATTGCAGTGGCATTTAAGTCCAGGGAGGATCATCGCAAACAGATTGAGTTGGAGGAAGCACGTAAAGCTGGGCTTGCGCCAGCTGAGCTGGATGAAGATGGGAAGGAAATCAACCCTCACATTCCCCAGTATATGTCATCTGCACCTTGGTATCTTAATGCTGAGAGACCTGTAAGTCTTTTTCCCCTTCCCTTTTTTTTCCTGGTCGTTTGAGATCTGCATGAAGTTGTGCTTTTTGACATATAACAATAATAACAATTTTCTTTTACCTTTTTTTCTTGTAGAGTTTGAAGCATCAAAGAAAATGGAAATCTGATCCCAATTATACCAAATCATGGTATGACAGAGGTGCTAAAATCTTTCAGGCAGACAAGTATCGAAAAGGTGCATGTGAGAAGTAAGTATTTCTCTATTTGTCGACTGAGTTTGTTCATGCATTCATGTATTTCTCTATTTGTCGACTGAGTTTGTTCAGTATTTGGTTTACATAAGTGATAAGTCTTAGGACATCCATTCATTGTTTCCCCCCAATTTGTTGGTGTATTATCTCCATGGCTGTCAAACTCTTGAGTAATCTCTTAGGACTCTATTATTTTAGGACAATGATAAACATTGTGTTCACTTGTGTATAAATTCTTTGCCAAACTATGTTTAAGTAAACACACAAAATTAGTCGTCAATTCAATTCTAATGACAAGTTTACAAGGCTGGATTTACTCATGGTTTTGGCCTCTAGGTGCAACTTTTGACTGAATTTGTTGAGTACATGAGCTGAATTGCATCTGCCATTGAATATGTGTTAGGTTTATGAAGTTAGTTTTGCATTTTAATAATTGTTTTTGTTCTGTTTTTTAAACTCCAAAATAATTTAAGTGTGGGACTATGGCATAACAGTTGGGTCAGTTATTAAGTTACATTTTTACTTTATTACTTTCTTGTGTCATTGTAGTCTTCGAATTTGAATATTACTTATGAATATTTTATTTAATTATGTTTGGTTATTGAGTTTATGATTCAAATTCGCTGGGGTTCCATGAGTTTACCTAAACTCTCAAGTTTGACTACCTTGTTTGTCTCTGAAATTTCAATATATTTGTATTCTGATTATCTTTCTTGTACAAGATTAATCAAGTACTTCAATGTTCATTTTCTTGCTATAGCTGTGGGGCTATGACACATGATTCTAAATCATGCATGGAAAGACCACGGAAAGTGGGAGCAAAGTGGACAAACAAACACATTGCCCCTGATGAAAAGATAGAAACTTTTGAGCTTGACTATGATGGTAAGCGGGACAGGTGGAATGGTTATGATGCATCAACTTATGCTCGAGTCATTGAGAGGTATGAAGCTAGAGATGATGCTCGAAAGAAATACTTGAAAGAACAGCAGCTGAAGAAATTGGAGAAAAGCAACCAGAATGGAGAGGATGCTGCCAGTGACGAGGATGAAGAGGAAGATGATTTAAGGGTAGATGAGGCAAAGGTTGATGAGAGCAAACAAATGGACTTTGCAAAGGTTGAGAAGCGTGTGCGTACAACTGGTGGTGGAAGTACAGGAACTGTTAGGTAACATTTATGTGGCCATCATTTTCATAATGCAAGGCCAGGTCAATGTCTCATAAAGATTATCCACTTTCATTATTTATCTTTGATGAATTTTGAACTGAAATATCTTTTCCTTCAGGAACCTACGTATTCGAGAGGATACTGCAAAATATCTGCTTAATCTTGATGTCAATTCTGCACACTATGATCCCAAGACCAGGTCCATGCGTGAAGATCCTCTTCCAGATGCAGATCCAAATGAAAAGTTTTATGAGGTATGGTCTATGGAATTAAAATTTATAGGATACACTAATTTATTTTTGCTTTTTAATGCTATATTTAATCTTTTATGTGGATTAAATCTGTTTTTTTGTACTGTAGGGTGATAACCAATATAGAAATAGTGGTCAAGCATTGGAATTCAAGGAACTAAACATCCATGCTTGGGAAGCATTTGACAAGGGACAAGATGTTCACATGCAAGCAGCTCCATCCCAAGCTGAGTTGCTCTATAAGAATTTCAAGGTCATGAAGGAGAAATTGAAATCACAAACGAAGGAAACCATTATTGAGAAGTATGGCAATGCAGCCGATGAGGACAAACTTCCAAGAGAACTTCTGTTGGGTCAGAGCGAGAGGCAAGTTGAGTATGATCGTGCTGGTAGAATAATTAAAGGGCAGGTAAGATTTGCATTCTAAATCTTTACAGTGAAGCGTTTGCAACTTGCATAAAAATCTTGAATATGCTACTCGGTGGGTTAGCAGGACATTTTACTTGATCGGTTAATATTACCATGAATCTTAATTTCAAGTTTATGACTTCTACTTTATGCTTATTACTGCTTTTGAAAATGATAGATTTAACTGTTATTTATCTGATGCTTCTGACAGGAAGCAGCACTACCCAGGAGCAAGTACGAAGAAGATGTTTACATTAACAACCACACAACTGTTTGGGGTTCATGGTGGAAGGATCACCAATGGGGCTACAAGTGCTGCAAGCAGACAATACGGAATAGCTATTGCACTGGTGCTGCTGGTATTGAGGCTGCTGAGGCTGCAAGTGATCTTATGAAAGCTAATATTGCCCGTAAGGAGGCTGCTGGAGGTTCGTACACTAACATGCACACCATACCTCTGCTGTGCCTCTACCCCCTTCCCTTTCTTTTGTTGTTATTTTTTCCATGTTTGACAACTTTGTTTGATCATATTTAGCATGTGTATTAATCTCTAATTCTTTCCATGAACCCAAACAGAGGATCCTACGCCTGTGGAGGACAAAAGGCTTGCTACATGGGGTACTGATGTCCCAGATGACCTGGTTCTGGATGAAAAATTGCTTGCTGATGCACTCAAGAAGGTAAATATCAATCTATCACACACATATTTGACATTTGTTAGAGTCATTCTGTGTCTTATTGTAACCCTTATGGAATTAATTATATCCTTGTGCCAATAGCTTTGTTGACCTTAATTACCAAGGTCATTGGGCCGTTGACTCAAACTAAATATTGCGTGTAATTTCTTGAGACAAAGATGGCATTGTTTGGCTCTACATTCTGGAGCATTTTGAGATGAAATTATTCAGGCATATATACATATGCTGTGCGGATTGTTGAGTTTTGGTGCTTTTTCACAGGAGGATCTAAGAAAGAGAGAAGAGAAAGATGAGAGGAAACGCAAATATAATGTTAGATGGAATGATGATGTTACTGCAGAGGAGATGGAGGCATACAGGATGAAGAAAGTACATCATGATGATCCAATGAAGGATTTCTTACACTAAGCTCAAGAGGACTAAAAGGCCCAAATTTTCTTTGTTACAAGTTAAAGCAAAAGGAATGCATCTCTTTCTATGAATCCACAAGCCTTTCCATTGTTTTCTTGCTGCCAACTGGAAGGGGCAGAATGGATTGATGGTCGAAGTATTTTGGTCTGTACAGCTTTGTGGCAAGTTAATAATGTAAACAACATTATTTAGCTTATGGAATTCAAATCTGTTGTATTGACTCAATACTGTTAGTTGACTGGTTTGTTTTGTTAACCACGTTGATGGTTCTGGTTGGCGCAGTTAGTATAAGGTTGTAGGATCTTGTCCAAAAGCCCAAACATAAGTGGGAAGTGTAGTGTATGAGAAAGAAAAAAAACATTTTTGTGTTGTAATTGTTCAACTACCTCGATCTAAGGTCAAACCTCGAATTCCAAGATAGCTTATAGGCTTGGACTTTGAAGTTTGAAGAAGCTGGTCTGGTCGACAGATTAAGGAATGAAGTTTAGAACACGTTTTGCTGACTACGATGAAGAAGACAAGAAAATAATGTTACCAATTGATGTTGGTCATTTCCCACTGATTGTTCAAAGGTTAACAACCTCTTATCTATGTTATGGGCTCAGTTTTCTTTATGTATCTTTTTATCGACTCCAGGTTTTTGCTGTTCTGTAACATCATGCTTTTTCACTCATAAGGGAATTACACTTGGTAAACACTATCATGTATTCAAGTCATGTATGTTTTGACCCAGGTCAATAGGATGAAGCTTCTTTGCATGGCTGTAACTTGATTTATGAGTAGTAATAGGTTTTTATTAGCCTTCGAAAGAAATATTGTTTTCCAAAGTAAAAATAGGCATTACATAGCTTATCTATAGTAGCTTGGACAATATGCTTTATCTGAACTTCAGGTTCTATTAATCTTTCTAAATTGTAGATGATCAATGCAGTTACTTGTTATTATTCATGGTCTGAATATGATATAAGATTATTTGTCATTTTGTTGTACACCTTAAGCATTTTAAGTTAGAGACCTTGAAGCATTCCATCTAATTATTGGTAATTTTTTCTTTTATCTCTTGCAACCACAGGGTGGGAGGCAGAGGATGGGGGGGTGGTTATTGGGTTTCATTGAAATGACAATAAATTTAAATATACAATATATGTTGCATAGTTTAACTGCGGTATTGGACAAGGATTTTCAATTAGGCATTATGATTTAGGAGACATGATTTAAGTCCATGTAAATAAATTCAATGTTATACCCAAAAGAAGCAAAGAAAATCTTTATTTTCAGAACATAAATATGTAATACTTTGTCTGAAATTGTGTTGTCAGCAAGTGACTCTTTATGTGGTTAGTTGTCCTTATCATCTGGAAGGATTGAATCAATTGCTTCTTCTACCATCTTGATGGCTTCAATCTGTTGGAGTTCAACTTCTGGATCAGCTGCAACATGGTCCTTGCATTGCATATCTTCATTAGTCAGTTGTATTTTCATAAGAGATGGAATTTCTTCGTTCTGCTGCTTTCGTACCCTGACACTCTCTTCTACCTCATCAACTCGTCAAGGCAAATAGGCAATCCGCACAAAGACCACCGGAACTGCTAGGATGAGGTGCTTTCGTCATGTTCCTCGCCGATTCAACACCGGTTTCAGAGATGGTACTGAAGCTGCACCTCCGAAGAATAACAGAATACTTGCGAAATATATTTGTTCCACTATCCTTATGTAAACCTTTCACTAATATCACAATATTCATTTCATGCTAATTCATCATCCATTTTTTCTTAACTAATATTAATTTTTTGAAATAATTACATCCAGCTATTTTAAATTTGAGTGGTGGTACTTGAGAATAATGTAATTTTTATCTTTTACTTCTCGAGAATAGAAAGGATGAAAAATAAATTGAAACACGGAAAGGACAACTTAGTGAAAACAAGTGTGTGGTAAAAATAATACTAACTTATGCAATGACGTTTATATTCTGTGCTTCTCATATTATATATTATATGACTTAATTAATAGTTAAAAATTGTCTACGCATATATGCTAGTTTCATGTTCATGCTTCATACTCCCTTATTGTATAATCCATTAATAGTAACTGTTTTTAGATAAACTTCTAATATTTAACATTTAATAAATTTTCTATTTATTTTTCAAATCTGTATTTTATTTATATTAATTCTTTAAATTTAAAATTTTAGTTTTTAAAATGAATCACAGTCAACTTTTGAATTCTTATTATTATGAGATATTAAAATTAAATATAAAATAATAATTTATTATATTAAATGTACGTAAGAAAACATAAGACATTAATATGACAATATTTTAAAACTTATTAAAAATAGTTTATTTTTAAAATTTATATTTTATTAAGAACGTATAAATTTCTTTAACTATATAAAATAGATACTTACCTAAACTGAAATACATATATTATAGCTTATAACATAAATTCCTGTTAAAAATAAAATTCACATTAAAATATTACTTTTTTAAAAAAAAATAAATATAAACATGAGATTAAATTTAAAGGAAAAATTGAACCACCGAACGTGTTTCATTAAAAACTAAATCTATAAATATAATCTTCAGAGATAACTATTTATAATAATCAGAGTTCGGTATAAAATCTATAATTGATATTAAAAAATCTATAAAATCAGTTTAACTACAAACAAAATCAAGACTCTCGATTAATAATCTATAAAATATATAATTGATATTAAAAAATACATAAAATCAGAACGGTGAGGAACAAGTTATAGTTCAATAATTATAGTAACTTCTATAAATACTCTGAACATCTGTGTTATGTCATTTACATGCAAAAACAATTGGTTCAAAGTGTCTGTACTTTTGATTTTGGACGATAAATCTCGACAATGGCTGTCTCAAACAACATATGTACCCATCTGACGTTGGGTAAGTGTTCATGTACTGCAACAGAGACAGAAGAGGGTGATTCCAGCAGCAACGAGGTTTGCACCCATTTAACATTGAGTGTGTGTCAGTGCACTAGAGCTGAGATACATGTCTCTTCAACCAAGAAAAGGAAACATTGCCACAAAGGTCCCTTTGTTGCAAAAAAGAAGGCATGCAAAGACTTGGTGGTACAAGATGATGATGATCCTTGGACGATAAAAAAGGTGTTGAAAGAGAGTGATCTTGGCAATATGAGTAGGCTCATGCTAGCGAAGGATTTGGCAGAAAAGTCTGTGTTACCTGTGTTGGGTGATGCTGCTGAGATTGAGAAGGGAGTTAGTGTTAAGATTTGGGATGTGGACACTTACACCATGCATTCTCTTGTTTTCAAGAAATGGGTTTCTTCAAGATGCTACATTTTTATGGGAAAATGGGTCCAAGATTTTGTCAAGAGAAGGGGCTTGAAGAAAGGGGATGAGATTGGCTTTTACTGGGATCCATATAATAGTCACTTCAATTTCTCTGTTCTTAGAGTCAATTAAAATGAGATAGCTCGTGTACAAAGAGCTTATAAATCATTTAAAGTTGTGTTTCATGTTTTAAGTTCTAGTAGTTGTAAGGTTGGAGGGGTTTTAATATTCTTGCTTTCATTTATTATAAGCCTTCTCAGATCTTATGTTGTTTTTATGTGTAAGTATTATGCTTTCTTTTGATGACATTTGTTGCTTGTTCCAAAATCATGGTAGGCTATCGATGAAGAAATAGATCATACAGAATTACTCTTAAAATTAGTAGTTTTTAAAGTATGTTGTTTTTGTGGTTTATGGTTTAAATTCTGAGATTCTTGTAATTGAAATTTCATACTACGATTTCAATTGCATCTTGATTATGGTTACAACACGCTATGAGCCAATCGTTTTGATATTGAAAGAGCAATTTAATGTTTACGAGCTACATATTTGGTCACCACTGTGATAACAATTTTATAATAACACATAATTATTAAACTTTAACTAATATACTTTCTATTTCGACCAGTCAATTCTCTCTTTCAAGAAAGAAAGAAAAAAGTCAAATGTCCCGATAATTTGAATTACTAATTTCCTCTGCCTTCAAGAAATATCTTTATAAGCCATTTTTGTTGCTGATAAAAATTTGAAATGAAATTCTAACTAATTTTGTGTTGAGTACTTTGCAACCATTGAACTTGCTTGGTTTTTTCAAATTCTAAGAGTAAATAGTTTTGGTTATCTATTTTTTAAAAGAATGGTTATCTATATTTTTATTCTAGATGCTACAAATTTATGGGAAAATGGGTCGAAGATTTTGTTAAGAGAAAGGGCTTTAAGAAAGGGGTTGAGATTGGTTTCTACTGGGATCCATATAATAGTCACTATAATTTCTCTTTTCTTACGGTTGATTAAGATGAGATAACACTAGCTGAATAAGGTTAGAAATCATTAAGAAAAGTGTTTTTCGCCTTCTATTTTCTAGCTGTTCTAAGATTGGAGTGGTTTTAATTATTCTTTTTTTCATTTGTTGTAAGCCTTTTCAGGATTGTTTGGGGCTATGTTTTTATGTGTATGCTTTATATTAATAACCTAAGTCTGCACTTTTTTTTTTCCTATGTAAGGTAAAAGTTTGCCAATATAAGGTGTCTATGTTATAGCTTCTATGCTACGACATTTGTCGCTTTTTCCCTTTTTAATGTTCATTCAGCAATAGCCACAACTCCTCTTAGCTAGGTTATCACTTTTTAATTACAGTAGATACAGATTTGTTTATATGATGCATGAGTGCTACAAAATTATTGGAGCATGTGTTTTGTTACGATCCATGTCCAACCCACCACTGCTCGGCGTAGTAGCGTTAACCTTGAACCCACGTTTAGTTCTGACACAGAAGAACTAAAAATAAGCAACATATGAACCAACATGTCTGTATAGATATTTTTTACTGTTAATTAAGTCACATTAGCTATTGTTGTGACTGTACCTGGCAGTACAACTGGTTTAGGACTTTGAATTCACTTGTATAACTGTACACAGGTTACACATCTATGAACTGAGCCAGTTACAAAAGAGGCTTCGCAGACCCAATTTGTAAGAGGACGATATGTGAATCAAAGACAAAAAAAAAACTTTTGATTACAAGAATTCTTGTTTTGATAAAGGTGGTGATATGACAAAAACGAAAATGAGTGATAGGAGAAGAATACGCAAGTACTAGCGTGGTTCAATCAATGTCACCTTGCATTAGAAAAAAATGTATATTTTATTAAAAGTAATAATTAAAAATAAAGTGTTATATGAGTTATAAAGTTGAAAAGTTGTAAGTAAATGTATATTAGTGTGAGTTAAAGACTATAATTCTATAGTTAAGGGTAATAATTTTTTGTTTGTAATCACTTGACATTTATGGAACAATTATTTTTTGATGTAAGTTAAGGATTATAATATTACTATTATAAATAGTAAATTATACTCGTATATTTGATATGACAATATAATAAAATTTTTCTATTATTATAATTTTTCTCTTTTATTTCTAACAAATAGTATCAAGAACTCAGTTCGATTTTGAGAGTTGAGAGAAACACTTTTAGAGTTGAGAGATAGTAAATAATGGCTTAAATTTATTTCAATTTTTATGTGTCACTAGAAAAAATTATGATAATTGGTGTTCACTCATGAAAGTTTTATTAGGATCTCAAGATGTTTGAGAAATTATAGAGATAGGTTATAGTAAGCCTCAAAATGAAAAAGACGCTTTGATGAAGTAAAAAAAGAAAGATCAACAAGCACTTGCATTTATCCATCAAAGCTTAAATGAAATTATGTCTAAGGTAATGTTTAATGCAGATTACCTTTAAAGAATCTTGAGAGATTTTGAAAATGAATCTTAAAGGAGTTGACAAGGTCATAAAGGTGCGTTTACAAGCTATACGAGGAGAGTTTGAATGCTTGTGTACGAAGGAATCTGAGCCTATTTCACATTTTGGTAAGTAGAGTGGCTATGAAGCATGGAGTGAAGTTCTTATACCACTCTTGAAAATAAAAGAGAAGAATTATAATAATGAGAATTTTATTATATTGTATATTAAATACATGAGTATAATTTACTATTTATGATAATGATATTATAACCTTTATCTTATATCGAAGAATAATTGTTCTGTAAATATTAAGTAGTTACAAAATAAAAAACTCTTGCCTTTAACTAAGAAATTATGATTTTTAACTCATGTTAATAAGTAATTACTCACAACTTTTTAATTTATATAATATTTTATTTTTAATTATTATTTCTAACATCCTTTTTTAGTTAAAAATTCTCAAAAATTCTTTTGCACTCTAAGTCTTACATGAGTTACAAAGTTAAAAATAAATTCTAAAAAATTCTCTTGTGTGTGATGTAATTGAGAATTTGTCAATGCAAGTCTATTGGTGAAATGAGAGATAGTTGAAATAAATTATTTATTATTATTATTATTATCATCCGAGATTTTTTTTACTCGTATGTTTATTTTTATTTTAACAATTTGAAATACCATTATTTATTATCACTTTAAAAAAATTATTTTTTCATATTTTTTATTTTAGTTTTTAATTTAATTTTCAAATAAAAAGAGCCTGTTATCTTTGCAGATTTTTATCTTTTTAAATTCATTTTTGTATCACCTTTTAAACTTGGGTTTATTTTTGCATATTTGGTGATTAGTTTCGTTCTTTTTTATTCTTCTTGCAATAATTTGGTTGAATTGAAATTTTTGTATTATTTTTTAATTTAAAATTAATTTTGATTAAGTAAAAACTATTTAAGTAAAAATAAATCAATAAAATTGAGGATTCACGTGACTAACAAAATATATGATTATCCGTTTAAACTAAAAAGATTTTATGTATAAAATGGTGAAGGATTAAAATTTAGAATATGTAAACACAAGCAACAAGCAAAAAATTGAAGAGATGTAATTAGGGTAACTATTTTTTAAACATATCATACTCTTAAATTTAATCTTAATTTTTTAAGACAACTTTTCAAATTAGTCATTTTTCTAAATTTTTCAAATAAAAAATTGGCGACAACTCTTTTTATTATAAAATAAAATTTCTTTATATTTCATCGTAACACATCTATAAATATGTTATGACATGTATAAATGAAGAATATAAAATGAAAAAACAAAGATAAATTCATTTTTAAATTTAAATAATTTTAACATGTCTTTTCGTGTGTGTTAAGATGAATGCTTTTATCTTATCCTCATAATTGAAATTATTATCGTAACTAGAGTTATTTTTATTTTTTTAATATTTATTATGATTCTTTTTTATTTTATTTTATATTTTGGATATAATTATTTTTAATTTATAATATAAATACAATTTTACAATATATATATATATATATATATATATATATATATATATATAAAGAATCAAAATAAAAATTTTAATTATATTAGTTTATCTTGAATTAATCGGTTCATTTGGATTCTTTAAAATGACAGAGGTAGATATTACGGATGATAAATTGATATTTTTTTATTATGTGATGGATTAAAATTTATTAGAATTGAATAAATTTATTTATTTTATAACTTAAGAAAATTGGAATTATCACATTTTAAATTTTTTTTAAAATTTAATTATTTCAAAATATAATTTAAATTCCTTTTATAAAAAATGACGTGAACAATATTTTTAATGAATATAATTTTAAAAATATATATTTTTACAAAAAATTATTTTACTCAATTGACAAAATATATTTTGAATTAAAATATAAATTTTTTACCCACACCCATTTAAGTTGGGTTATATTCAAAATTAATATTTTGAATTATTTATAATTAAAAATTAAAAATTCTATTTCAAATGTTCGAGCCTTTAGTGACACGTTTCAAGTTATGTTTTGATGGCTGATTTGTTTTTAAAAATTGTCAAACTTTCTTTTAACAAGTGTTGAAATAAGTATTTTAATTTTAAATATTATATTTTATATGTTTGGTTGACAACTCATAAACATTATCAGAATAAATCTTTCTGGTTTAGCCCACTAAAATTCATCTCTCTTCTTTCATTTAGTATAAAAAAAAGTTAAAATTTCAAAAATGTCTTTAACTTTTATGACTAAATAAAATCTATATTTTTCTAAAAGATAACATAACTCAAAATAAAAATTTCTTTTAAATATAAAATTGACATTTATCAGTTACATAGTTTTTCTGTTTTAAAAAACTAACATAAGATTAAATTCAAATAAAAAAATTGGACAATTCATTATGATTCATAATAATCAATTAACTGTCGCTCAACATTTTAAATTCATTTTGAATATGAAATTCGCATTCAAGTACTGTAGATTTTTTTTTTTTTTGAAGAATCTACAAAAAAAAATCTAAACTTGATATTAAATAAAAATGAAAAATTAGAGCACCGAACTTACAATCAATTAATGGCTGCGTATTTGTGTAAACTAAATATACAATCAAGACTTGAGATCTGTTAATTTGATTAATTATGAAATATAATATTGAGAGATAAATTCTCATAAATTTAAATATAAATATGTTGGTATTAATTACACAAGATATAAAATCTAAACTTGTATTTATCTAATACAAGCTGTGGATAAATCAATAATCATTTTAACAGCAAAATCTATAAAATCAATGATTCGCGGCTGATAATCTACAAAATCTACAACTGATATTCAAAAATATATAAAAAACAGAAAGTCGAGGCTTCTATAAATACTTCGAACACTGTTATGTCAATTACATGCAAAAGCAATACGACTCAGAAAGTTTCTCTGGTTCTGATTTTTAACCAAAACTCTTTCCAATGGCTGTCCCAAACAACGTTTGTACCCATCTTACGTTGGGTACGTGTCCATGTACTGCAACAGAGACAGACGTGTGTGATTCTAAAAGCAATGTGTGTACTCATTTAACGTTCAGTCTGTGTCACTTTACAACAGCCTCCTCAACAAAGAAAAGGAAACGTTGCCATAAAGGTCCTTTTGTTGCAAGAAAGAAAGCACGCATAGACTTGGTGGTACAAGATGATGTTCTGGTGGAACACGATGATGATGATCCTTGGAAGATAAAAAAAGGGTTGAAAGAGAGTGATTCCAACAGCAACGAGGTTTGCACCCATTTAAAGTTGAGTGTGTGTCAGTGCGCTAGAGCTGAGATACATGTTTCTTCAACCAAGAAAAGGAAACATTGCCACAAAGGTCCCTTTGTTGCAAAAAAGAAGGCATGCAAAGACTTGGTGGTACAAGATGATGCTCTGGTGGTACACGATGGTGATGATCCTTGGAAGATAAAAAAGGTGTTGAAAGAGAGTGATCTTGGCAATATGAGTAGGCTCATGCTAGGGAAGGATTTGGCAGAAAAGTTTGTGTTGCCTGTGTTGGGTGATGCTGTTGAGATTGAGAAGGGAGTTAGTGTTAAGATTTGGGATGTGGACACCTACACCATGCACTCTCTTGTTTTCAAGAAATGGGTTTCTTCAAGATGCTACATTTTTATGGGAAAATGGGTCCAAGATTTTGTTAAGAGAAGGGGCTTGAAGAAAGGGGATGAGATTGGCTTTTACTGGAATCCATATACTAGTCACTTCCACTTCTCTGTTCTTAGGGTCAATTAAGATGAGATAACTTGTGTACAAAGAGCTTAGAATCATTCAAAATTGTGTATTTTGTTTAATAATTTTTAGCAGTTGTGAGATTGGAGCGGTTTAAATCATTCCTTCTTTCATTTGTTATAAACCTTCTCTGGATATTATGCTGTTGATTTTATGTATACACTTTCTATAGAAATAATATATATAAGTCAATTTAATTTTTTTTTTGCTATATAAGTTATACATTTTATTGGGTCCATGCTACTACTACATTTATTGCTTGTTCCAAAATCATGGTAGACTATCGATGAAGAAATAAATCTTACGGAATTACTCTTCAAATTAGTTGTTTCTAAAGTATGTTGTTTTTGTGGTTTAAAGTTTAAATTCTTTTGGATTCTTGTAATTGAAATTTCATATTAAGATTCTATGCATGTGGAAATCTCCAATTGTTGAAAGTGCAATTTAATGTTTATCGACTACATATTTGGTGACCAATGTGACGCAATTTTATGATAACACATAATTATTAAACTTTGACTAATATACTTTCTATTTCGACCACTCAATTGTCTCTTTCAAGAAAGGGTTTAAAAAAAAGTCAAATGCCCCTATAATTTGAATTCCTAGTGTCCTCTGCCTTCAAGAAATATCCTTATAACCATTTTGGTTGTGGATAAAAATTTGAAATGGAATGCTAATTTTGCGTTTAGTACTTTTCAACCATTGAACTTGCTATTTTCTAAGAGCTTGTTTGGTTATTTCAAATTCTAAGAGTACATAGTTTTGGTTATCTATTTTTTAAAAGAATGGTAATTTCCATGACCTTGTGGTTATCTGTTTTTTTAATTCAAGATACTACAAATTTATGGGAAAATGGTTCCCAGATTTTGTTAAGAGAAGGGCCTTAAAGAAACGGGATGAGATGGTTTCAACTGGGATCCATATAATAGTTACTCTAATTTCTCTGTTCTTAGGGTCGATTAAGATGAGTAGAATAAGCTTTGAAATCATTAAAAAGAAGCGTCTTTTTAGGATTGGTGGGATTTTAATCATTCTTTCTTTAATTTGTCGTAAGCCTTTTCAGGATTTTTCGGGGGCTATGTTTTTATGTGTATGGTTTATATTAATAACCTAAGTCTGCACTTTTTGTCGGCTATATAAGGTGTCTATGTTATAGCTTCTATGCTACAACATTTGTTGGTGGTAATAAATATGTTGCTTTTGTAGTTTAAGGTTACTACGAAATTATTGTAATTAGAATTTCACATTACGATACAAATTGATTCTTGATTATAGTTAGCTCGCTATGAGTTGATGCATCCATGGCAATTGTTTTGATATTCTGATATATGCAGACATAGCTCGTTATTCACTTGTATAATTGTACACAGTTTACACATCTATGAACTGAGCCAGTTACAAAAGAGGCTTCGCAGACCCAATTTGTAAAAGGATGATATGTGGATCAAAGACAAAAAAAAAAAAAACTTTTGATTGCAAGAATTCTGGTTTTGATAAAGGTGGTGTTATGACAAAAAAAAGAAAAAAGGTGATAAGAAGAATAAGAAAAAAATATATTGTTTTGTTAGAAGTACTAATAAAAATAAAATATTACACGAGTTATAAATTTGAAAAATTGTGAATAAAAGTGTGTTACGGTGAGTTAAAGATCATAATTCTTTAGTTAAGGGTAATATTTTTTTTTTTTTATAACCATTTAACATTTATGGAACAATTATTCTTCGATGTAAATTAAATATTGTAATATTACTATTATAAATAGTGAATTATATTTATGTATTTGATATAACAATATAATAAAATTCTTTTATTATTATAATTTTTTTCTTTTATTTCTAACAAAGTAGTATCAAGAGCTCAATTTTTAATTTCCATGTCTCATTAGAAAAAATCATGATAATTGGTGTTGACGCATAAAAGTCTTATTAAGATCTCAAGATGTTTGAAGAATTGTGTAGAGAAAAGTTATGATAAGCCTCAAGATGAGGCTATTTTATCACAAAATGAGAAAAATGTCCTGACAAAGCAAAAGAAAAAAGATCAACAAACACTTGCATTTATCCATCAAGTTTAAATGAAGTCATGTTTAAGGTAATGTTTATGTAATCACCTCTAAAGAAATTTAAGAGATTTTGAAAACGATTCTCAAAGAAGTTGACAAGGTCAAAAAGGTGCATTTATAAGCTCTACCAAAAGAGTTTGAATCCTTGTGTATGAAGGAATCTGAGCTTATTTTTTATTTTGGTAATTAGAGTGGCTATGAAGCATGGAGTGGAGTTCTATTCAGCAATAATAGCATGAACTGAGCTCTAATGCAGCTGTTTAGGAATAAAAAAGAAGAATTATAATAATAGAAAAATTTATTATATTGTCACACTAAATATATAAGTATAATTCGCTATTTATAATAGTGATATTATAACCTTTAACTTACATCAAATAATAAATGCTATGTAAATGTCAAGTGAATGCAAACAAAAAATTATTGCTTTTAACTAAAAAATTATGGTTTTTAATTCACACTAACACGTATTTATTCATAACTTTTCCATTTTGTAACTCATGTAAGAATTGGAGTGTGGAAGAATTTTTGAGAATTTTTAATTAAGGGAGGAGGTTAGAAATAATAGTTAAAAATAAAGTGTTACATGAATTATAAAGTTGAAAAGTTGTGAGTAAATGTGTTAATGTGAATTAAAAATCATAATTCCTTAGTTAAGAACAATAATTTATTTTTGTAACCACTTAACATTTACGAAATAATTATTCTTCGATATAAATTAAAATTTATAATATCACTATTATAAATAGTTAATTATACTCATATATTTGATGTGATGATATAATAAAATCCTTTTATTAATATAATTCTTCTCTATTATTTCTAACATTTTCAACTTTTAAGACTCATTTACGTGTAATGACTTATAGCTCACTGTAACAACTAATAACTTTCAATTATAATTCATTTAAAACAACTTTGGCTAACACTTAAGAGATCAGAAAAATTGGATCATATAAAAATTTAAAATATCTTAATAATTGTCTACCTTAACTTTAATTCTTTATATCATCAGCAATTAAGAACAACTCTCTTTACAATAAAATAATTTTTTTTCAGATAGTACAGCATGCTAGGTTTTTGGTAAGAGTTATACGTTTATTGTAGGGCTGTGCAATGATGTTTAACTTTACTAAGTAGACAAGAAAATGTCATGGAATGCGGTTTTATTTGGGAATGAGTTTGCATTTAGAGTATGATTTAACAAGCTAGTCTCAGTTGATGGCACTCAGTTTATTTAACAAAAAAATTGTAGTTCAATGAAGCTTTAACTACAACGTATTGTTATCAATTTGAGGCGGCTGATTTGTTTCGAAGAATGTCAAACTTGTATCATAGAAAAGAAAATATGTGAAACTCTTCTTTTACAAGTATTGAAATAACTTTTTTTTATTTGAAAAATGATATTTATATGTTTTCTGCCCAACTAATTAACATTATTACAGTAAATCTTTCAGTTTTAACCCAATAAAATTTATCTCTCTTCTTTCTTTTATTAAATAGATACATTTCTGAATAAAAAATACGGATACTATAACTCAAAATATAAATTCATTTTGAACATAAAATTTGCATTCAAGTATTGTAAATTTGTTTTAAGAATCTAAAATAAAAATAAAAAAATAAAAAAAATAAAAACTTGATATTACATAAAAATGAAAAATTGGAGCACCGAACATTAAAAACAATTAATGGCTGTCTCTCTGTGTAAACTAAATATACAATCAAGACTTGAGATCTCTTAATTTGATTAGTTATGAAATATAATCGTAAGAGATAGTCTCATAAAAAGCAGAACGTTGAGGCTTCTATATATAAATACTTGAACACTGTTCTGTCATTTCCATGCAAAAGCAATACGACTCAGAGACTCTGGTTCTGATTTTTTACCAGAAATCTTTCTAATGGCTGTCCCAAACAACGTTTGTACTCATCTGATGTTGGGTCAGTGTCAATGTACTGCAACAGAGACAGAAGTGTGTGATTCCAAAAGCAATGTTTGCACTCATAGCGAACTAACTAAATCAAGAACCAATTGCTATCTTAATGTGAAATTTTATTTACAAGAATTTCATAGTAACCTTAAACCACAAAAACAACATACTCATAACTACTAATTTTACGATTGATTTCTTACGATTTGTTCCTACGTACATTCGTGGCCTAGCATGTTAGTGGAACAAGCAACCGATGATGTAGCATAAAAGCAATAAAGTAGACAATTTATATATTAGAAAAAAGTGCAGAACTGTGTTATTAATAGAAAGCATATATATACTACACATACAAACATCAAAAGTCTTGATTTTGTTTATGTTAAATTGATTATTAATTTATTCGTGGCTTTTATTAAATAAACACAATTTTACATTTTATTTTATTTTTTAAAAAATATATAATACTTGAATGTCAATTTTATATTCAAAATGAATTTATATTTTCAGTTATAATATCTGTATTTTTTATTTAGAAATGTATCTATTCTATAGTAAAAGAAAGGAGAGAGATAAGTTTTATTGGGTTAAAACTGAAAGATTTACTGTAATAATGTTCATTATTTGTGCAGAAAACATTTAAATATCATTTTCAAATAAAAAAAAAGTTATTTCAAAACTTGTAAAAGAAAAGTTTCACATATTTTCTTTTTTATGATACAGGTTTGACATTCTCAAAAACAAATCAGCCGCATCAAATTGATAAATATAAGATGTATTTAAAGCCTCAACCAATCGAAATACAATTTTAAAAATTTAATTATAAAAATTCAAAACATTAATTTTTAATATAGCTCAACTTAAGTTTTTCAAATATAAAAATTTTATATTTTAATTCTATTATAGCAAGCTCTCTGTTACATTTTAATATAGCCTAAACATTAATTTTATATTTTAATTTTAATTCTAATTATACCTTAAAAAGAAATATTAAAAAAAAGTTA